AATGATAAGCTTCAACATGATGGAGGCTTCCAGGATTAATGGGATCAAAAGGTCTCACACCATTTCTTCTCCATGTTATTCTATCTTATTATGATTAGAGCCTCCATCCGTTGGATTTTTCCACATAGGGTTCTAAAGTTCCATGATTTTTTGTCCCCAAGAAATTCATAATAAAATGAATCTCATGAAATGTAATTTTGTCAAATGTGAGTTAAAACTGGTTATTAATGAAAAAAATAATTGCACCTTTGAATAATTGTTTATATATGCAGGATTCCTTAACTTGTAAGAATTATACCTTGACAAAATAAGCTAGATGTACCTTCCCAAACATGACTTTTTTCTCTATGGAGTACTGTATGTCTTATGAAAATTTTGTAACACACAGTTGCTAATATTTTTAGCATCTTCAGGTTCTTCTATGCCTCTAGTGCATGCATTTATCCAGAGTTCAAGCAACTAGAGACTAATGTGAGTTTGAAGGAATCCGATGCTTGGCCTGCTGAGGTTTGTTTTTTTGAATTGTCACTTTTTGTCTTTTTTATTTTGTCTTTCTATTGTATATGTAGTCTAACTCTTATTTGCTTGTATTTCAGCCCCAAGACGCATATGGATTAGAGAAACTTGCAACTGAAGAATTATGCAAGCATTACAACAAAGATTTTGGAATTGAATGCCGTATCGGAAGATTCCACAATATTTATGGTCCATTTGGAACGTGGAAAGGTAATTTTTGTTCAATGAATATGAACTTTTGAATTGAATAATTTACTTTTGGGTGCTATCAACTCACTGCATTGGTTTATTGGTTGGTCTTAGGTGGAAGGGAAAAAGCTCCTGCTGCTTTCTGTAGAAAAGCATTAACTTCAACTGATAGGTTTGAAATGTGGGGTGATGGACTTCAAACACGTTCGTTCACTTTCATCGACGAGTGTGTTGAAGGTGTTCTCAGGTAAGGATAATTTATTTGAAATTTCCAATTGATTCTATGTCAGTGATTTTAATTTTGAACTAATCCTATGTCACTGATGCTTGATCAATGATTACCTTCAACAATGTGATGTGTCTTCTTTTGAATTTTGCCTTCCAAATGGCCTTTCTGCTTATTAGGTTAACAAAGTCAGACTTTAGGGAGCCTGTTAACATTGGAAGTGATGAGATGGTAAGCATGAATGAAATGGCAGAGATGGTTCTCAGCTTTGAGGATAAGAAGCTGCCCATTCATCACATTCCTGGCCCAGAAGGCGTGCGTGGTCGAAATTCCGACAATACCCTCATAAAAGAGAAACTTGGCTGGGCCCCAACAATGAGATTGAAGGTACCCATTTACTCTTTACTCAGTTACTCATCATCGAGTGTACCTTCCCTTCCCAAACCTACCCTTGAGTGGGAGGGACATATCGTGTTTGGTTTGGTTTAATTAATTGTGGACCATCTTTACAGGACGGGTTGAGGATCACGTACTTTTGGATAAAGGACCAAATTGAGAAAGAGAAGGCTCAAGGTACTGATATTTCCAGATATGGGTCTTCTAAGGTGGTGGGGACCCAAGCTCCGGTGCAACTTGGGTCCCTCCGTGCCGCTGATGGCAAGGAATGATTGCCTCCCCCCTCCCCACCCCACCCCACCCCTCCACATTTGTGCTAATAAGTTGAAGCCAAGGTTTGGTACAACGGCCACGTCTTCTATAGACATTATGGAGATACGTTTAAAAAGAGTGTTTTGTTGGTGGAACTTGCTCTGTGCGGAGGGCATATTTATCCTCCTGTTTTCTTTTCTACCTTTATGGTGCGACCCCCCCCCCCCCCGACATTCTGCTCGGGGTGGTTCTATCCTTCTTTTGGAGTATTAGGTTTTGAAAAAACTAAGGTGCACTGTATCATTTTCTTAAATGCCCATGTCTTTTTCCTCCTACTAGTGTGGTGTGGCTTTGCAGTTTTGGCATAACATCTGTGTACCATATTCAATAAGGGTAATAATAATGCACTTCTTTTGTGTTAAAACTTAGAGTAGCATCATCATATGACAAATATATTGTGCATGTTTTTGTTCTTATTTACAGGGTTAAATTTCATTTACTTTTTTTTTTAAATTTTCGTTAGTCATTTAATAAAATGATAGTGTCATATTGTTACTAGTTTTGTAAATCTTTTAATTAATTTTTTAAATATGTAATTTTATTTTTGAATTCTATATCATTTTTTAAATAAAGAAAATAACTTTAGTTAAATATAGTAAATTGAAACAGATGATTTAAATTAGGATGAAGAGAGTAATATTATTGAATGATAAGAGTATGATTTGCTTTGAAGTTTGAATCAAATGTCAAGGATTTTTGAAAACCATGTGAAATATTTTTAAGTTACTCTCTCCGTCCCAAAATGTAACATTCTTTTATCTAAAAAATCAATGGAATTTTTATTTATTTTTGTATTTTTATTGATTATTTGATAAAATAAAATATTTTTGGCACTTCTTGTTTCATATAAATTTTGACGTAATTTTTTAATATGTAAGTTTTATTTTATATTTGTAGACCATTCTTTAAATAAAGTGGATTGAAAAATTACTTTGTTTAGTGTAATGTTGCTTACGGATGGAGTATATTTTTTGTCGGAGGAGTACTCATGACACTGAAACCCCATGTCACCGGATGGCCCAGGACCGCTACAGTACTCCATTCGTAAAATTGACGGTTTTTATCTCCTAACTCCCATGGTAACCCCCCCCCCCCCCGACCTTATATCCTTTAATTGCACCGCAAAGTTATCGAGAAGCAGAAATAGTAATTGTAACATTCTTTTTTAGATGAACGAAATATTTCAGCTAGTATTTACAATGTTCAAAAGGAAATGTGAACTAGAAAAAAAGGAAATACAAAACTCTTTATAGGGTTGAAGCTTTGAAGGAATATTTTCACGGATTTACAAAAAAAAACCCGCCTAAAATGATGTACTCCTAAAAAAAACCCGCCTAAAATGGAGTAATATTGTAATGACTAGCACCTCATAGAAACACGGGTTGCTAATAGAAATTTTATTTATGAAAAATGTTAGGGATACATCAAAACTCAAAAGTATACCCCATTTGTCCCCCCACCCCCTCCATTATCACAAAAATTGGGCAAGATATTAAAAGAAATTAAATAAATAAAAATGGGGTAAAAATGAGTGGTGGAGAAAGGGGTGGGAGACAAATGGGATACACCTTTGGTGTACCCCTAGTATTACTCTTATATTTTTTTACTCCATGCGTTTCAAATTAGATTGCAATTTTGTATTAGAAAATAAAATATTATATTTATTAAAAATTATTTTATTTTAAAAGTGGTACACCCTTTGGAAATTAATTTTTTTCATTTTAAGTTTTCCTCGTTTTTTAAAAAAGTAGATTATGTGATAGATTTGTCCAAAATATCTTTACTAAAAAAGTAGAAGTATGTGGGATCTTAAAAATTTGTTATAAATAAGAGGGTATTTTTTATTTAAATATACATGTATATGAGAAAATGGGAAGGTTGAATTCAGCCCAAAACAAAAGGCAGAAAGATTAAATTCAAACGGGAATATAAGAATAAAAAATAAAACTTGCAGTATTAAAAAATTATATAAAAATTTTTATCCAGGGTACAAAGCAAAAGGTGATACAAATATTTTATTTTATCAAATAATAAATGAAAACACACAAATAAACATAATTTGTCAAGATGCGAGAAAAAATTATAACCAATTTCCAAACGAAGGGAGTATACAGAAATATTATACGTTCTCACTAGAAATTTTTTTGACTTCAAAAATATGTATATATTCAACTAGTGAGAAAGAATGAAATTTTTGTTAATACGAGAAAAAAATATTCTATGAAACTTTCGTTGAATGATTGTACAATATTTATACAATTAATCGTATCATGGAATTACTCAGTTCAAAGAGAACTAAAATAGTGTAGAACCGTGATAAGGTAAGCATGTCCTCATGGTTCGCATAGACCACTAAAAGCTTTATTATCTGTGCAAAGACAATAAAGATTTATGTAGTCTGTGCGAAACATGGAGTCATGATTGGAGTCACCCTTTTAAGGTCACTCTAGTTTTATTGAATATGTAACATGATCCACCTACCACCTTACTTTCACAATAAAATTGTGTAATATCCAAATTGATTTTTAAAGTGGTTATTTGAGAAATTACTTTTTTTAGTTTTCATGCAAGAAATAAATAAATTACTTATTCCTCATCCAAATCAAATTTCAATCACGTCTCTCACAATTAGGGTATGCTATTTTTTGTGGATTTCTAAAGTTGAATATTGAAAAAAACAATTAAGATGAAAAAATTAGAAGAGTTAGAAAAAATTAAAAGTTGATTTTTCCAATTTAAAAGAACAAATCCTTGAAGTAAGAGATTGATGTTTGAGTAGGAGAAAGAATAAGTCATTCATTTATTTTTTGCATGATAACTAAAAATGATCTATTTTTTAAGTCATCACTTTAATAGTTACTCCGTATTACACAATATGATTGTACAAGGGAAGCAGACTCTTTGCAAAAAATAGAGCAATTATGGAGTAATGGTGTAATTAATTAATTTTTGGAGTATTTTTGTAAAATTAGATATTTTTCAAGATATTGTTATACTTCAAAATACTCTCTATTCAGCAAAACGACAATATTTAAAATAAACTCTAAATATCCTTAAAATTTGTAGTAATATTCATAGGTACACTTCATAGTATTATTTTGACAAATACTAAATTTTACCTTCATAATCATGATTTTATAAAATTTTAATTAAATCTTTTAGTTTATCAAAATAACAGAATTTTCAATCTTAACCCCTAAATGGTCAAAATGAACCCTCAAAATATAACATCACAAATTTTAAACACAAAATATATTTCAAAAAATAAAGGACCTAAAAATTCTTATCAGAAATACAAAAATATCGCAAAGTATATTTCAAATAAAATGAAACCTGAGTGTTCTTACAAAAAGAATCAAAATAATCCAAGAATAATTTTTTGGAACAAAACTTATACTCCGGTATCAAACAAGAGAACAAAAAAATATTTTATAGTAATGAACACACAAAACCAATAATTATCAAGAGGTTGGGGTAAAAGAAATTGTAATCAATTATGGGACGGAGGGAGAATTACAATATTTTGTGGTGTACGCACTTCATTATGCAAAACAAAGCTATTAAGAAGTTTAATTTATACTAACGGGTTTGAGTAACTCAAAGCATACGAGGTGTATGCATTTGATGAGATTAAAAATAGGCCTTAGCATCTGGAACTTGGCCAATTTTTAAGCTCCCCGAATGCATATACTCCGTGCGCTTTGATCTACTCAAAACAGAGACAACTGTGTGGAATCTTTCCCTTTATATGTAAACCACACTCCTTAATGGCTTCATTTAGTACCAAGTGCGTGCACAACAAAACACTGCAAGATCTCTCCTGTCCCATTGTTTTTGTCATCATCATCATCATTATCATAACTTGCAAATCAATTGTCAAAAGTTACACATGCACTTTGTTCACATGGTAATAGACAATCAAGGGTCAGAACATTCATTGCTTGCTGCTGCTGCTGCTGCTCCAACACTTGCAACAAAGTCCTTCAGAATGTGCTTTCCCCCTTGCCAAATTCTGTAGAGGCCTGAGCTGTCCCTATTCTCAACAGAGAGCTTTATGGCATTAGCATTCAGCAATGCACAAGACACAATGACCTACAATCAACTAGTTTCTTGGCTGTGATTTCGGAAAAAGGTGATGAAAACTAGTTGTAGTAATGAAATGATTTCAAAATTACTTTTTTTTGGAATTCCTATGTACTTGTTGATAAACAGAGTTAACAGCAAGGAAGAGCAGCACAATTTACCTCTAACCATTGGAGGATGATTGTGCACAGAGATACGAACGTTCTTATTTTGTTTGCCATCAGTGGCAACCAGAGCTCCTCTTCCAAGCGATGGAAGTCGGGGAAGGAGCTCTCTCCGAAACCGAGGGCTTGTGGAAATAGTTTATGATTTTTGGCACACCCGCTTCAGCACCCTCGGCTGCATATGCCTGCATCCTGCCAAAATGCAAAATAATGCGCAGCTCGGAAGCTGGGCCAGATCATGTTCTCAAGAAACTTTGGCAGGATGCAGGCATGGCCCAGGCCCCTTATCGGGGCCGGGCTATTCCAAAACTGGCATCAGCTTGCGGCTGATAAGACTGCAAAGTGACAAGTTAGTCAACTAGTATTGAACTTCAAAATCAGAAAAGACAGCTATGGGTGTACAAAGGGCAAAGAATTTATAGAGCCTGTGAAACAATAGATGAAAACCAGTAGATGAACATGCACAGTTGTGTAGCGAAACTTGTTAATGCTTGCATGGAGACTAATATGTTTGGGTGGGGGTTTGGAGAGGAAAGGGAGGGTAATTTCTTATTTTGAATTAAGAGAAAAGTATACGTGTAACAAAAACAAATAAATAAATAAATACCAAGTAAATAAATAGGCCAATCGAGTTTATACTAATCTACTACGGAGTATCATTTTATACATCTTGTTTTGAATAAATAAATAAATACGGAGTAGATACCGAGTACATAAAATAGACCAATCAAGTTTCTACTATTTTATTATTTTGTGTCTTGTTTTGAATGATTACTAAGTTAAAGCATGACTTTGCTAAAATGAAAAATAACCCCCAGCCTTCCCCTACCGCCCTACGAAACAACCCTCCCAAACAGACATGAGTTCAGAAAAGCGTTCATCAGAAGTATTGTGTGAACTTCAAGATGTACACCGTGGGCAAACCACCTTCGTTTTCCTCTCCCCATTCCCAGTGTGTGGGTGGGGGTGTGGGTGGGGGAGAGGGGGTATCATTAATGATTCTTGACACATTGATTTGATGATACCATGTATACCTGTGAAAAGGGTTGGTGAACTTGAATTTGTTCATGATGATGGATGAAAGGCATTCCAGGGTGCTGGCCAGAATACTGAGTTGAGTGCAAGTAAAGAGCATGGTTGGACCGCACCCCAACATGATTGGTGTTGAACGGAGGAGGATGTATGATGGTCTCAGCCTGGCCATATCCAATGCCGGGAGTTGATGGTCCAACCCATTGCACAGGCAATCGTGGAGGAAGAGGGCGAGGTTGATGTTCGTGAGAGATAGTCGGCCGACGTGCTGGTCTGAGTTGTGGAAACTCAGTGTTGTAGTTCAATGCAGGAGCGTACATTGGTTGAATAGCATACGGCCCTCCAGCAAATCCAAACCCAGGGTCGAATCTTTGCAAGTATCTGTAAATTTTACATTGAATACATTCCATTTGGAACCAGCATGCGAAGATTTCCATATCCACATGCATTAAACAGATTGAGCCACCACATCCATATCAAAACTCATTACTAGAAAGCCAAAACAAGTTTATGCAAAGAAAGAACCATCACTATAATCACATAGCCTCAAGTCTAATGGGGTCAGTGACTTAAAATTAAGAGCCAATTGAGAGTTGAGAATTAATGAAAGCTATATATTATTGAAAGAAAATTGAGATAGGAAAAAAAACAATTCCTCCATATTATAGTAGCACTTACAAAGCAACAAAAATGAACAAAATATCAAAAACAAATGAATATTCAAAACAAAGGTTTGGATAATCATGTACAGATGTCAAATTCAAATTCTTGCACGTGTTCTAACCAAGGTGGGAAACAAATACGTTCACCACCATCAGGTGGCAATCCACAAGGTCACGAGACAAATGAGCAAGGACATTCAAAGCAAGCATTGGAAGGCTAACCACAAAAGGAGTGAATATACCTGTCATAACTCCTGTCGTAATCAGGATCCTTGCGATCAGTTTCACGGTCTCTGAATATAGCCACCCTATTACTAGTTCTAGACCTAGCAATCTGCTCCTTCTCACTCCTACTTCTAGCTGATCTACTGCTACCAGTTGATGAAGAATCAAGGTGACCTCTGCCAGTATTCACTTCAGAAGTCCCAGCAGATGTTGCCTTTTCATCTGCCTTTGAAAATCTAAGTGGACCAGGCTGGAAAGCTTCCTGCATGTTTGATTCACTTTCAGTTTTTCCATTATCACCGCCGACTAGATTATTAGAGCTGAAAATCCGAGCCCTTGCCCTGTTGTACTCTTCCTTTCTTTCCTCCACACTTTTAGAGTTGTTACTATTTGAAGAGTGTGAATTTGAAGAGCCACTGAACTGAGAACCTTTCTGTGGTCTCTGCTTAATAGCAACTTTGACTACACCTGTACCTTCCTGGGGCACATTTACAGGTATATCAGCCAGGCGAATTGAAGGTATTCGACTTCCGGAACTTTTGCATACTATAATTCGCGATCCAGATCCATCTGGTAAACTGTTGTCTAATAAGACCATTGACTGGAGAGAGTAGTGCTGAGCCACCCGATGAGCAGCCAGACGCAAATATGATGTAGGGAGCTGTTGGAACTCCATTTGCTGCCGGGTTGGATCTTTAATAAAAGTTTCAACATCCTGCTCCATTCTGAGAACTGGACATCATAATACAAAAGGAAAATAAATTACCATCGCAATCAAAAGTAATAATAAGAAACATGTAGTTCAATCTTAAAATCAAGACAAACTACCATCACAATTTAAAGTAATATGGAGTAATAAGAAACATATAGTTCAATCCTATAAATCGAAGGAGAAAGAGAGAAAAAAGGGTGGAATTCTGAATGATGTCTAAAATCTATAAGTTTAAACCCCCACAACAGAGCTTATTAAGAAAATTGACCTTCCATAACCAATATCAACATCATGCATGCAGAAACGACATATTTAGTTACTCCATATTTAATCAAAATGCAAACAGAAAAATAAAGTAGCCCAGGAAAACTCCAAAAAACATCTAACATATTTTGCTTGTTCAAAATATGAAGAAAGGCTACAAGATAGGAAGAAAGACATATAGTATAGTCATAGAGATGCTTAACCACGGCTGAAGTCCTAAAAGTTTGGATGCAAAACTCCCCAATCATACTGCAGAAAATAGCCTGTCTCCCCGTTTCCATTGCACTATGAAAGTGAGCATTACGGATCAAACAGTCAAACAGGAATAGCAACTTTACAGCATTATTAAAAATCTATGTCTATATCCCCAATCACCCAATGCAATGTAAATATCTTCACTTTGTTGAAAATCTAATCTATGTTAAATATTGTTCTGTTGCACGTGCCACATAAATTTACAAACTAACACAAACTCATAAATTTCAATCCTCAAAGGTCCAAGATGTGGCTATCAACTTTAACAATTACCATTAGATATATTTTATCTTACTCTCTTCATTAATCGGTTGGATATAAGCAAGTGAATTACAGAGTATTAAACTTAATAGAACGTTACTTACAAATTGATACAAAACAGTGCCTAGGCATTCCAATTTCCAATAAGAGGTTCTTAATTTTCAAATATTAATTTACATTGATATGGAAAAAGAACCACCACAAGCAGGATAATTTTAGAGCTTCGGTGTAATTCTTAGTGAGTTCCATAATCCATATGTCCATCACTCCGTCCACCATCTGGAGCCCTAGACGCTAAGCTGAAAAGCAAAGTTCCTTGACAGCTAGAGTTGTTGAGATCCCCATATTCAATATAACATAATAAGGAATTACATAAGGGGATGTTCTCACACAAACCAAATATCTGAAGTTGATGCGATTTGATTGCAATAGACATGAAAAGTTGATATATTGAGCAAAAGTGGTTCTGTTGAAGTAGAAAATTTGGCCAGATTGGCATAAAGATCAAGGATTAGGACTTAGTTGCAGTGTGAAAACTAAAAAATAAGTCAATTTGTTCTGTTGGAGATTAGCCAACCCTTCTTTATTAACCTAACTTTTTAAATCTTTTGGTTTTGAGCTTTGACCACGTTCTTCTATACAGAACTGTGATAATATATTTTCAATCATTCCATCATAAGATTTCTTGGGGAGGACAAACTAGCATGTATTCTAGTGCTTAACTATATTTGGAATACCCAGGCTACCATTGATGCTTCAAACGTTTAATTGTTGTTACCCTTGTCCCCACCCACACACACAATCTCTTCTCGTACAAGGACTTTCACATTCCAGGAGCATTAATGGAAAAAAAAAAGAAGAAAAAAAACTCACAGAGAACTCTAAAATACTTTGCAGTAATCAACAAATCGAGGAAAACCTAATTAAAAAGGAGAGATTTAAGTCATTCAGAAACGAACCTGAAAGCCTTTCCCTAGGGTTTTGTAAAGCCTCCCGGAGAAACTGGTCGACCGAATTGATGGCATCCTCAGAGAGGTCTAAAGCCGGAGACGAACTGCTCAAAGCAGACGCCGAATTCGGAGCCGACACAGAAGAATCATCGAGTTCGGATTGACTGCCCGAGTTCTTTTTCGAAGACGAGAGCATGAGCCGCCGCATGCTGGCGTCAACGTCAGCCACCTCCCAAGACTCAGGCGCGGCTCCGAGATCGTCCACCGCCGACGCAGAGCCCCCCTCCATCCCGTTCAACCCTCACCTACCCCGCGGGAACAGAGATCCAAAAACCAACAACAAAATCCACAAATCCTACCGGATGTTCATCAAATCGAGCTGAAATCCGCCGCAGATCAGGAGGTTCCGCTCAAACCCATGGCGGAAAACCGAGCAAAAGTGGAAATTTCGAGATGGAATCCGATAGGGTTTGCGGGTGCGGCTTGGGACCAATGCTTGAAGGGGTGGGTTTCGCCAGGAGCGTGCGATGCACGGCCAAGACGGGAGAGTGAAATTGCAGAAAGGGGAGTGTGGGAGTAAATAATTGGAAAATGTGACGATGCAAGAAGTTCAACAGGTGGCGGTCAGGGTGGGCCGATTCGCTGCCTCGTTGCCATGTTTGGGCTGTAGAGTTTAGATTGATGTGACGCCGAATCGATGAAGGATGAAGATGAATGAATGTGAATGAATGAATGGCTTTGGATACCCGTATTTGTAAATGTATATGTAAGGACCATCTCGTAATTTTAGACTTCTAGTATGGGATATGTTATGGATACACCAAAGATGTACTCCCACCGTCCTATAATGATCTTCCTAGAGCACTATTCCAACTTCACGGGAATTTATATTTATTTGTGTTTTTTCATGGCCTATATGATAAAATAAAATATTCTTGTCACCACTTGTTTTGTTAAACTTTTGGTGTAGTTTTTAAATATGTATGTTTTATTTTTTATTTCTATACCAATATTTAAATAAAATAGATTGAAAAAACTTGAGATTTTTCTTTGTTTTGCGAATCGGGAAGATCATTATAGGACGGAGGGAGTATCTCAAATGTACACCACTCCTCTTTTTATTATTTATTTTATTTTGTTTTTAATTTTTTTTTTTGAATTTTTATTGCTTTTTTTGTGTGGTGATGGAGGGGGTAGGGATAGAGCTGGCAAAACGGTCGGTCAGGTCGGGTTCGGGTTCGGTCACTTCGAGTTCGGGTTATTTCGGTTTCGGGTCAATTCGGGTTCGGGTTGAGAATATTATGTTCATGACCCAGTGCCATCGGGTTCGAGTCAACCCAACGGGTTATGACTTTGGTTTTTTAAATTTTAAAATTCACATTAACACTTACTTTTTCTATTAAATAGATTTAAAATATCAAAAAATATGTATTAAATCTATTAGATTATTCTATTTTGAATCGTGAAAATATTTCTAGATATACAAATCAATATAAGGCATTTAAAAAATGCTTAAGTTTTAGAAAAAAAGTAAGGTAATTATGCAATATCATTAAAATTTTGTCAGAAAATATAAATTTATACATTCAGAATGAGTAGTAAAGTGTATAATTTTAAAAAACTTTTACTTTAGCGGGTCGGTCAGGTCGGGTTTGACCCATTTTTAGCGGGTCATTTCGGGTTCGGTCAACTTCGGGTTCGGTCATCAAAACCTTTGTTCAAAACCCAGTGTTTTCAGGTCGGGTTTCGGGTCAAAAACAGGTCAGGTCATTTTTTGCCAGGTCTAGGTAGGGATGTTTGGGGTATACTTTTGGTGTACTTCTAACAGTTTCTTTCTAGTATCTCCCACTCAAAATAAAAATACATACTCCCTCTTCTCACAAAATTCTTCAGTCTAAATTTTCGTGAATCCCATTAAACACTTCTACTGCATCTAAAATATCTAAAATATACTTTTTTTGTCCTAAAATGTTCTTTCTGTTTCTGTTTACAATATTTGACCTACTTTATTTTCAATTCAATTTATTTGATTGTAAGTGTAAAATTAAAATTTAAAATTTGTATATTTGAAAACTACATCAAAAATTTTACAAAATAAGAGTTGACAAGACGAAATTATTTTATCAAATAACTAACGAAAAATCGGTAAAAAATGTTTAAAATTTGAATGTGTGAATAGTAACTGGGAAGAATGTGGTTTATTGCGTGTGGAGTTGTTTTGTGGGCATTTTATACATTTTAGGTGGATAGAAGTATTTTTTGAAGGGCACAAAAAATTAAGAAAGAAGCGTTTTGTGAAAAGAAATGAGTACTTTGGAGGAGTAGTAAGAGGTCATGTAGTTATATTTAAAATTATTTCTGATCTATTTCGAATCTAATAATAATAAATAATAAGTGAAAAGAACAAGCTCTTAGTAACTTAATATCTCACACACACATATCAAACAATTATTGAAGGCTTACCATCCTTACAATATCAAAAACACGACATACGTTGATCAGGTAATCACTGATCAATCCCCATAAGAAAATTAATGTAGTGTTTGGATGAGGAGAAATTGGAGAGAAAGAAAATAGAAGAAGGGAAAATGCAACATTCAAGGAGTTTCTCTTGTTTGTTTGAAAGAGAAAATGAAAAGAAAAGTAAATAGATTTCATCTCAAAATATTATCTCCTCTAAAGTGGTGAGAAAATTACAATGGAAGAGAAAACTTATCAAATGACACATTTGCCCTCAATTCATTTTCATTTTTGACCATTTAAATAAGGGTACTTTTTACTTTATCACATTTTTTCCCTCCTACTTTTCCTCTTATTTTCTATCCATCCAAACCATAACTATTTCCTTTTACTTTTCTTTTCATTTTTTCTTTTCTTCATTTTCTTTCCTCTTAATTTCTTTCCTTCAATTTTCTCTCATCACCCAAACATACTCTAACCCTTTCTTTGACAAGAATTTTTCGTTTCTACGGGTAATCAATTACCGGTGTGTGTAATCGATCACTTAACTAATTTTTTTAGTTTGTTTTAAGCTACTTAGCTACGAGATGATTTCAAAAGTGTTAGTATTACCCTGTCCTCTCCCTTTCCCCCACCCTCAGCCACCCCCTTTTCTGAATCCTAGAGAACTCTATATGAAGATTTTGTATTGAGTATTAAAAAAATACGCTTCCTAAAATATTTTTAATTTATTTCAAAATGTCTTTGTTTTTTACTCAAATATCAACAATGTACTATTATAAAAAAATTCTCTTTCTAACAAATAATGAAAAATTGTTTTTTCTAGAACGGAGAATAATATTTAGTAAAATTGTTTTCTCATAGAATAATTATATAGAAACATATTTTTTCACAACCAAATGCACCCTTAACTTCTAATATTTTTCAACTTCTTTTCTTTCTTTCCATTTTTTAATTTTCTTCTAACTATTTCTAGTTTTTTCCAATTTAACATTTCCAACTTATTTCAACTTCTTCAAATTTCCTTCTAGTTCCACCTAACTTCTTCTGATTCTTTTCAAAAGTGATTTAAAAATTATTTGCGTGCATTATATTTTTCATAATAATAATAATAATAATTTTATGTAAAATTCGTACTAAATAGTACTAAAATATATATCATTTCCCAATGTAGTATGGTATTTAAACTTTTTATTGCCTAAATAGTATTTGAATAATTATGTCTAGTTGCGAAAACAACATCAAGTGATGGTGGACATTTAGTTTGAACAATGTCCAGTGGCACTGGACATTTAATTGAACAATGACGAGTGAACATTGAACAGTGGTACTATAACGAGAAATAAAAATAAATGATACTAGTTGGAAAAGTCACTATCTTTTAGTACTATTTAGGTAAACTTCCCTAATATTATTACTATTACTATTATAAAAACATTTCTAGAGCAATTGGCTTTGGGGTGAGAGGGTTTATCGGGGTAACAAGGCTAGAAACCATCAATTTTTTGAACTGAGCGTCATAAATACCTCCGATTGAAACAAGTGTCATCCGGAGCAACTCAAAGAGAGTGCATGTATACAAAAAAAATTAAAATAAAAATAATTAAAATCGTGCTAAATATTACTACCTCCGTACCAGAGTATTTGTCCACTTTCATTTTTACACACTATCCAATACATTTCTTTAATCTATTTTATCTTGTAATTTGTATATTAAAAAATTATAGAAATTATATATTAATAATCTATATGTTAAGACAAATCAAACAAGATCACACATGACTATATTTAGGCTTACACATTAAGAGAATTTGATGAGTCAAAGTGCTTAGATGAACAGTTCCAAAAGTCAGAAGTGGACGAATACTCCGGGACGGAAGGAGTACATTTTTTAGTGCTTTTGACTCAAAACTTAAAAGGCATGCATACGGTACAAAATCATACTCCCTCCATTCCAATAAAAGGTTCCACACTCCCTCCTTTCACTTTGGCATGAAGATTAAGAATAATAAACAAGTAATACTAGGGTACACCAAAACGTACCCCAAATGTACACCATCCCCTTCTCCACCATCCATTTTTATTTGATTTTTATTTATTTATTTATTTTTTATTTTCTTGCCCAATTATGTGGACAAAGAGGGGGTGGGGGACAAATGGGAGGTGTACCCCTAGCATTTTTCATAACAAAATTATGTAGTTGAAAGTGATATATATATATATATATATATATATATATATACATACACACACACACACACACACACACATATATATATATTAATTAACATAATTATTATATATATATATATATATATATATATATATATATAATTTAAAATTCAATAGAGCTGCAAGGTCCAAAATACATCATGCATGCCTAGAAAATCTGAAAATACCCAAGCTAAAAAGATTTGATTTATATAACAAAGAAGTATCCAAATGCTTAGCCCAAAACCATTGTTGGAGGGTCTGATTTATAGCAGCCATAATATTCTCCTTCGAAAACCTAGCCTGAGCCAAAATGTAGGAGTTGTATGCCTTCCAAATGTTCCAGATCAGCAGCCCAAGAAGAACAAACCTCACATTGTCCAAAATGCTCTTCTTGTTAGAAGAAAACCACCAACTTAACAGCACTGCTGCAAAGAGAGAGGGGCAGCTGAAAAGGGAGCCTTGGCAGCATCTGCATAAGCTTTCCAAAGACCAGAGATCTCCCTGCAGTAAACAAAAATGTGATGATCATCCACATTACTCTCCTTGCAAAAAGGGCAGGTAGCGTCCACCAGGACCTGCAATTTCTGTAAATGACATGGTAAAGGCATAGTTTGTTGACAGCCCTCCAAAGAAACAGGCTCATCCTACTTATGTTCCTGTTATCCCAAATATATGAGCAAGAGATCTGTTTGGGCTTATGATCAAAAGAATGGTAATAAACCTTGCCAAAAGAGTATGCTCCATCAGCCCATACAATCCTGCCTTGTGATGAGGTGCAATAAGGTGATATAAAAGAGTGAGCCTTGCAGATAGACTTCCAAGTAGCAGAATCATATTGCTTAGGAGTGAAGGACCCATCCCTGAAGTACTTCCGGTGCATAAAAGTGCTCTAAATGGTTCCACCCTGCTGTACCTTCCACCATAAATCCATGGCAGCAGCCCTTTGACAATGGCCAAGATCCCTTACCCCTAATCCACCCTCCAGCAAGGGGAAACAAAGCTTTTTCCATTTCCTCCAATGATACTTGTGGGCTGTGGCCCTCATCCTTAGCCCCCCAGAAAAAATTAGCCATCATCCTATGAAGACACTTAATGACAGACTTAGGTAGTTCCTGAACCGCCAAGATATGCAAAGGAATGGAAGAGAGAACATTCTTAATCAAATAAGCCTCCCCATCTGGTTAAGCTTCCTACTATACCAGACCGCAATTCTTCTCTCAAACTTCTGGATCAGTGCTTGGCAGTGAGCTTTCCTCAACTTTCCTCTCACAACAGTAGACCCCAGATAAGTAACAGAAAATAATAGTTTCGTTAACATCCCAATTTAACATTTATGAAACGTTGATGCCAGAGAACGCTTGAAAATCGGTTAAACGGATCCTATATATAATGACTCTAAACAACGTAGAGATTAAAAGATCAGAAGAGTTTATATAATATACGGTGAGTCCAGTGGCCGAGTGGGAAAAAATGAAGTTGAGGAATTCGATGTCTTGAGATTTGAGTAGGAAAATGAATTTTCATCCAAAGCAACAGAAAAACATTTTTTTATTTGAGGAAATAATATTTTTTTTCATAAAATAATATACTGCAATTTATGCAACCAAAAACAAGAAAGTCGAATTAATTTTTTTAATAAAAAATATCTTTCTCTCAATCAAAGAGATCCTAAGAGTTAGAATTTAAAAAGAATAAATATTTAAAAAATTAAAGAAAAATTATATGATCGAACAAAAATTAGTTTAATTGCACGAATTAAAATGCAAGTAAAATTCTTTCTCTTAATCATTAGAAATGATGGCCGACCATGATGTGCACACATTAAACATCTCTTATAAGTTACTCCGTATAACAAACCAAACTCTCTCTTCTTGTCGTTTCTTCCCCTTTTCTACAAATGAATGTGAACCAAATTTGCAGCAACACCCAATACAATAACGCTTCACATTAATATCTTTTTCTATAAATGATATGATGATTAAATTTCCTTTTATGCAAAAATTTGGGATAAAATGCGGATATGATTTGACACATCCATACGTGTCTTAAAATTTTTTACCTACAATTTGTGGTATAAATATTGCAACATTTTTTTGAAACATTTTCATCCATTCCTTAGTGTCTTCAAAACCATGTCTAGTAAGAACACTAATAGGAAGGTGTGCTATGTCTTGTGCATCTTGTTTGGGCTTCTTCTGCAGACATTTGGTTTGAGTGCAGATGATGGGGAGCAGATCGGGTCCGGGTACCGGGTGGTGTCTTCGGTCGTCGATCCTTCGGGCAGGTCGTTGAGCGCTCGGCTCCAAGTCATTCAGAACTCGTCGGTTCTTGGACCCGATATTGTCAATCTCAAACTCGATGCGAGGTGAGCTAACGATATATGAGGAATTGATTTATGATATACTCCCTCCGTCCTATAATGATCTTCCCAGAGCACTATTTCAACTTCACGGGAATTTATATTTATTTGTGTATTTTCATGGCCTATATGATAAAATAAAATATTCTTGTCACCACTTGTTTTGTTGAACTTTTGGTGTAGTTTTTAAATATGTATGTTTTATTTTTTATTTCTATACCAATATTTAAATAAAATAGATTGAAAAAACTTGGGATTTTTCTTCGTTTTGCGAACCGGGAAGATCATTATAGGACGGAGGGAGTATACAAATGATCAAACTCACTTCATTTTTAAAAATACACCAGTCTATATGGAGTATTTTTTTGAGTACTATTAACTCTATTAGGAGCCAATTACTTAACCTTATCACTGTTAAGCTCACTATCTCTTTTTATTTTCTTAAAAAAAGCGTTCTTTTTTACACGACAAAATTTTATAAATAAAGTGATTTGAATGTATTTCAATCTGAAAAGATCACGACACTAGAACGTGAATATTACCCTAAAGTACACAATTATAAGACCCTTCGTTATGGGGTGTGTCCCCAGGGCTTCACCATCCCTCACGCCCTTTGTCAAGCTGCTCCGCCCTTGTTGTGAAGGGGCATGGCCCCTTCTTGGGTGATGGCAGTCCCGCCGTGGTGACTCCTTCCTTTAATTTTTATTTTTTTATTTTTTCAACCAGTCAAAATCTAACACATATTCACCTTAACCAATCAAAATAATTTACATTTTTACTCTATCACATTTTGGTCACGCCTCCTTTCAAGCCCCATAAAACATATTTTTTTTTACTCACACACAACCGCTTACGAGATGCCCGTGAGAGATTCCATCAAGCCCGCCATAACACATGGTCTAATTGAAATGTATAGTAAAAATGTAAAATTTTAGGGAAATGAAGCTTTTCAAATTCGTTTTATTCTAAAGCCATGTGTTATGGTGGATTTGACAGGGTGTAAAGATGTATGATGTAGAGTGATGAAAAACGTGCATTATGATAAGTATAAAAAATGTGATGAAATGTGAATACACCTTAAATTTTAATAAGTTGAAATATAAAAAAAGAAAAAATTAATGGAGAATGGAAGAGAAACAACGCCCCTCACTCACCCTTGATAACAAACCGCCTAAGTAACACTACCACCCCATTAGTTACATTATTTATTTCTATTCACTACTCATTTATCACTCGTGATCACGAGTGATTGAGTGAAGGTCATAAAATATGGAAAATATATAGCTCTATGAAATGATTTTTCATTTTTTACTTTAATAAGCAAAATTTACTCTATTTGCTAATTTTCACTAGTCATTTGATAGTATAACTATATGGTCATATCATATAATCTCTTATTTTGTAAGTGTAAATTTTGATATATATATATATATATATATATATATATAGTCCTTCATTCTTAAATTAATTATACTTTAAGAAAAACAAGGTAAAATTCTAAGTTTTTTAATTCATATATTAAAAGTTGTTTTAAAAAAGATTGATATAGAAATAAAAAATAAAACTTACATTTTTAAAAAGTATATATCAAAAGTTCTACAAAAGAAAATGTGACAAACTATTTTATATTTATCAAAAAATCAATTAAAATACACAAATAAATAAAGATTTCTAAGATTTTTAACTACTAAAGAGTATAACTTATTTTAAGATGAAGAAAGAATTTTATTTTTAAATTTTAAATAAAATAAATTGAGTTAAAATTTACGGAGAAAATTAACGGGGATAGGGTAACTTTTTGAGAACCATAAATAATGAGCCTTCATTAATGGACTTCAATAATATTATTTGCGTACTAAAATATTTGTCTAATTTTGACTTTTTGCAGTTAATTATTTTGCAATCTTTAATTTATAAATAAATAAAATTTATATGATATATTAATTACTCCCTCCGTCCGAAAATGTTCTTCCCATTTGATTTTTCACGGTCTCTAATATTACGCTTTGACCATTAATATCTATATTTATACATAGATATATTTTATAAGAATTTGATATTTGAAAACTACGTTTCATTATGAATATATTGATATTAAATTTGCATCATAATACAATGTGTTTTTTCCACAAATCGTAGTTAAAGTTTACAAATTTTGACAAAAAAAAGTAATGTGAAGAACATTTCCGGACGGAGGGAGTAGATAATATAATATTTTGAAAAATATTTTATAAATATATCTAATAAAATTATTTTTATATATCACTTTTATTTAATTTGTGATTAAAATATCTCAAATTTGATGGAGAAATGGACAAATATTTACCAATGGAGCGGGTCTCCGGCCACCAGATTCCGGCTAGAAGAGTTCTTCGGCGAACTGAAAGTGCTTTTTATTTAAATTGTGTTTGAAATATACAGCTTTGAGAGCGGAAGCCGGTTGAGAGTGAAGATCACAGATGCAGATAACCAAAGATGGGAGATTCCAGAAGAGTTCATACCTCGCAATTCATCATCCCCATCGCCATTGGGAGGAGACAACGCGATTGATGCGAACAGCGATGGGGCATCCGCCGCCGTCATCAGTGATCCGAACTCAGATCTGGTTTTCAATCTCTTCAACACCACCCCGTTCGGATTCTCCGTCACCCGGAAGTCCTCGAACGACGCCGTCTTTGATGCCTCTCCGGTCAGCGGTACCAGCGACTCGCTACTCGTGTTTAAGGATCAGTACCTGCAGATCTCGTCGGCGTTGCCGTCCAACCGATCGTCTCTGTACGGGATCGGAGAGCACACAAAGGGAACGTTCAAGCTCCAGAGTCCTCAAACCCTAACGCTGTGGGCGGCGGACATAGCCAGCTTCAACCGGGACCTAAATCTGTATGGTTCTCACCCTTTCTACATGGACGTCCGGTCCTCCGGAGACGCGCATGGGGTCTTGCTGCTCAATAGCAACGGCATGGACGTCGTGTACACCGGCGATAGGATCACTTACAAGGCGATCGGCGGTGTCATTGACCTCTATTTCTTCGCCGGTCCCACGCCGGAATTGGTGTTGGATCAGTACACCGATCTCATCGGCCGCCCTGCTCCCATGCCTTACTGGTCCTTTGGTTAGTACTCTTATCCAATATATGCTCTATCTGGTTTTCATCTCTCTTATGTCCCGGCCTAATTATACAGTAATGATATAATCACTAATCAGGTAGAATATGATTGGAATTCACATTTGCAGGATTCCACCAGTGCAGGTATGGTTATAAGGATGTTGATGATCTTGAAGGTGTGGTTGCTGGCTATGCAAATGCCTCCATACCCCTTGAGGTTGTGTGGACAGACATTGACCACATGGATGCCTACAAGGATTTCACTTTGGATCCTGTTAACTTCCCGGCAGACAGGATGAAGACTTTTATTGATAGCCTCCATAAGAATGCCCAGAAATATGTTCTCATTCTTGATCCAGGTTAGTTCATCTCAAGACTGGCGTATGATTTTTTTATGAACGAATGAACCCATTGTTGCAAAGCTCAGTATCACTTGTGCATCTTTCTTGTTTAGCATTCGTTCTTGTAATTTAGTTTCTTTTGCCTGGATTCACCAGGGATTAGCACAAGCGACTCGTACGATACCTACAAGAGAGGGCTCGAAGCTGATATATACATCAAGCGCGATGGTGTTCCTTATCTTGGACAAGTTTGGCCAGGGAATGTGTATTTCCCGGACTTTGTAAACCCGGCCACCACTGCCTTCTGGAGCAATGAGATCAAAATATTCAGAGACACTGTTGAGTTCGATGGTCTTTGGATTGACATGAACGAAGTATCTAATTTCATAACATCCCCCTCCAATGGAAATTCCACTCTTGACAACCCTCCTTACCAGATCAACAACTCTGGGAACAAGAGGGCAATCAATGAGAAGACCATCCCAGCAACGGCAATTCATTTTGGCAACATTCCGGATTATAATGTCCACAACCTTTATGGTTTCCTTGAATCAAAAGCTACTAACCAAGCTTTACTGAATGTCACCGGGAAGAGACCATTTGTGCTGAGCAGGTCTACATTTGTGGGCTCTGGCAAGTACACTGCACATTGGACCGGTGACAATGCTGCAAGTTGGGATGATTTGGCTTTCAGCATTCCAAGCATCTTGAGTTCTGGACTCTTTGGTATTCCCATGGTTGGTGCTGATATTTGTGGCTTTCTTAGAAGTACAACTGAGGAGCTTTGTAATCGGTGGATCCAGGTGAACCAAATACCTTTTCTAATTGCATATTCTATCTTGTTAGGAGCTCGTTGCTCTATATATTGATTTGTATATATATAGTTCATACATTAAGCCACATGCATTGTTACTTTAAGCGTGAACGGTTTTGCTACCCATTGCCCTTAGGGAAATCATTGAGGTTGTTAGAATAAAATATGTAAACAATGTATTTGAATGTAGGTAGGGGCATTCTATCCATTTTCAAGAAACCATGGAGACAAGTCTAGCAACCGTCATGAGCTCTACATTTGGGACTCAGTCGCTGCATCGGCAAAGAAGGTGCTTGGGTTGCGCTATCGCCTACTCCCATACTTCTACACATTGATGTACGAGGCCCACCTACGCGGGGTCCCCATCGCAAGGCCTCTCTTCTTCTCATTCCCTCATGACACCAACACACACGAGGTCTACTCGCAGTTCCTAGTCGGCAAGGGTCTCCTCATATCCCCTGTGCTCACCAGTGGCGCTGTCTCTGTCGAAGCATACTTCCCAGCTGGAACTTGGTACGACCTCTTCAACTATTCCAACTCCGTGGCATCGAAATCCGGCGAGAACGTGACTCTCGACGCTCCTCTGGACCACATAAATGTCCATCTCCGGGAGGGCAACATCCTGGCAATGCAGGGAGAGGCCCTGACGACAAGAGCAGCCAGGAACACTTCCTTTGAACTGCTGGCGGCACTCGACAGCTCCGGGAACAGTTCAGGCGAGCTTTTCTTGGACGATGGAGAGGAAGCCGAGATGGGGGGCGCTGGCGGGAAGTGGAGTTTCGTGCGCTTTCAGACCAGAACAGCGCCGGGAAACGTGGTTACCCTCACATCAAAGGTCACGAATCCGGATTTCGCCGCCAGTGGTGGTTGGGTCATAGAGAAGGTGACGGTTCTTGGCTTGAAGAGTGGCACTGGTGGTGCGGTGGAGATATCTGGGTTGAATCAGCCTATTGGGAAAAGCTTTACTTTGGACCTGGGGAAGCAAACGCCATTGGAGTCTGCAACATGATCTGAACAAGACACTGTTAGTTTTCCCATTTGAAAACCCCATTTTTTATTTCTCCCCGTTCTGTAATCCAATAATATCATTTACTGTGATAGATTCACCCCAGAAAGAATAATGTAATACATCTATGATCAAATATATTTGGACCACTCAGTGCGTTTCTTAAGATTATTTTCCCATCGTCCGCTGTCACTCGGCACCTGCCCCTGCTCCGGCGCTTCCCCCCTCTGCCTGCCCCGCCCTTTGGCCACCCGACCCCCCGCCCCAGTGCCACCCACCCCCACCGTCACTTGCCACCCCGCACTACCCGCCTCCCATAACTACTTTTTTTAACCTAAAGACACTTATTTAAATAGGGTTAACTTGGTGTTCCCAAGTATTTTCCGAGGAAGAAACAATTTCCAAAGTTACAAAAAGACGAAAAAGTACTAGCCAATAAGCACCGACAGCCTCCCATACCAGTCATACCACTTTACCATTGTCTACAAAATTTTGTTCCAAATGTAATGCAACATATATATGTCTTCTCTGGAAAGAGCTTTTCATATGAGCTATGAGCAAAGTTGCCATTTTGAATAGATTTCTAATTATAAAAATTAACTACGAAAATGTTAAAAGTGAAGGATTTGTTTAGGTAGTCTGATCTTTCTCAAAATGTTAAAAGCTAAATACTGTCGTTGTATAGTCTTTTCAAAATGCTAAAATTAAACACGAAAACATGGGGTGGGTACATATATACACACACACACACACACTAATGATTGGTTGGCTACCTTAATATGAAGAGGAAGTTGTATATGAGTGGGTACAAAGGTGTTGTTTGTGGGTGGTGAAAATAATTAAAGGTATAGAAGAAGAAGAAGAAGCAGAAGAAGAAGAAGAAGAAGAAGAAGAAGAAGAAGAAGAAGAAGAAGAAGAAGAAGAAGAAGAAGAGAATTATGGGAGGGGAGTGGAAAGGATTAGTGCAACTGCTGGTGCCAATAAGTATTCATTTGGTTGCAGAGGAGATGACCAGATCTGTTCTGGTTGATGTCACCACCAAAGCTCTCTGCCATCCCTATTCCTCTTGCTCTCAAGCTATTTACATCACTGGACTCCAACAAACTGTACTCTCTCTCTCTCTCTCTCTTAATTATTTCCTGTAACCTTTTACCTTCTTCTTCTTCTTCTTCTTCTTTGAAAAAAAGACAAGTTTTTTGGTTTCTTTAAAATAAGAGAGATAAAAGATTTTACCTTTCTGATGCTGGGTTTGACATCAAGAATCCATTGTTCTTGGGATTCCCAACTTTTCTTGGTTTTCTTTCTTTCTTTGTTTTTTTTTTGTGAAATCATAACTTCTCTTGGATTTCTGAAATGAAGAATTCCTTTTCTTTTTCTATATATTAATTTCTTCCATTTCATCTAAGATTTTAGCTTTTGAAAAAAGAGAGAAGAATTTATAACCTGTCTAATGTTGGGTTTTCATACCAAGAACCAATTTTTCCTGGAATTTTCAACCTTTCTTGCTTTTTCTGAACTCAAATGATTGTTTTCCCTATAAATTAGTTTCTTCTTCCAAGTTGGGTTGATTTTTTAGTTGTCTAAGAGGCACTGTTGATTTGTCTTCATCTGTATAGCTGCTGCTAAGAACAGGTGCAAATAATCTGTTTTTTAGTGCATAAGCTGGTGGGTACACAGCTTTTGTACACCAAGGTTGTAACAGGGCCCGCACACATAGATGATGTCTGTGACTCTGTGTGTCTATGACAAATTTGATTTATACACTTACTGTGCAAAAGCTGTTGTACCCCTGCCAAAACCTTTTTTTTAAAAAGACAAATGTTAGATTCACAAACAAAATGATCACAAAATTCACAAATTTACTATTTGTAAATTTCAATAAAAAAATTAAATAGTCTAAAATAATTTCAATATGAAAATTTAAACCCTAAATGGTAGGTTTGTGAAATTTGTGACCATTTTGTTTGTGAAACGAGGATTATTGTACTTTTTTGAAAGTCATATTTCCTTGGTTTGACCGGTCTTCACTCTGTATTTAATGTAGCCACCAACGACGTGTGCATATTTTGACCTATATTACTCCTTCTCTAATCATTCTTTTACTTTTTTTTAATTATTTTTTTCCACATGTCATTTCTCTATTTGTACAAAAAAATTTTAAAATTTAATAACCGATCATTTTCTCTCTCTAGGAGAATATTATTCTCCCCTCCTCATCTTTCTCATCTATTTCCCTCTCCTTTCTAATCATTCTATTCTTCTCCCCCAGAGCATCTTATTTCCCTCTTCATTCTCCTCCATTAGTCATGCCCGAAGCGAATACCACTCAAGTATTTATTTTTTAACAAAAATATCATTGTCTTTTGAAAAAAAAATTAATAATATCATTGAACTCTGTGAATGGTTTAAAAGTGTCACCCAAGTATTATGTTTTGTCAAAAGTGTCACTCCCTATACTTTTCTTTCAATAATGCTACTCCGTATTAAACTCACCTAAATTTTCAAAAATGCCACTGAAAATACTTAATTTTCTTTTTTGAATTTCTCTAAATAAAATCAACTTAATTTTTTTTATAAAAGTGAAGAGTGTGATGTTGGAATTGAGTTTATTATACCAATACCCCATGTGGTTTGGTAAATATGCAACATCACCTCCATGGTTTCTAAACCTACGCCGTTGCGCATCCTCGCCATGATATATATATATATATATATATATATATATATATATATATATATATATATATATATATATATATATATATATGCCAGTGCCCCTCTAGACTAAAATACTCTTCAAATATTCGTACGATGCCCTCCATGGTGTTGGATATAGGCACCAATGCCGCTCTCTTTTTTTCTTTATCGTTTCTTTTCTTCTTTTTTCATAAATGTCTGTAAGTTATTTTTCAAAATAATTTTTAAAAATGTTTTAAAAAAAATAAAAATAATTTGTATCTAAAATAAAAAAATTAACATAAACCTCTTTTGTCCAAAATATAATATTTTCATTTTTTAATTTGTCTAAAAAATATTTTTATTTTTTTGAATCCGTTGGGACAAAAAATACAGAGTATGGTCTTTTTTTGGACCGGTGCCAAATAGATTTCCTTCTTGACTTAGTTTTTCCTTTTTTTAGTGTAGAAAAGTTTTTTTCATATGCTATTTCTTCTTTTCTTTTTTTCTATTCTTTTGTTTTATTTTAATTTTGATTAGAATAAAATAAAGAATATAAACTTAATTTTTAAAAAATTAAGAACATAAACAAAAAATAAAAAAAAGAAACCAAAAAATAATCAGAAATGGGAAATGAGCTTCAGTGCAAAAAAAAAATGTTTCATTGATTTGAACCAATAAGGACCATTTTTTTAGACAAAGCATGAAAATGTTTAATTGATAAGATCCAAAATCGATTATATCCGAAATTGATTTTGCCTAACAATAAGCATATTATGTTTATGTAAATTAGTGAAGAATTACATTTGATTTCAAATTTTTAATTTTTATTTTTTGCAATATGAACTAGTTATATACTTATATTACTTACTTCCTATGTCCAAAATGTATTACCGTATCTAAACCAAATGTAAATTTTCATATGTTTTAATTTTTTTTATAAATTGGTATAAAAATAAACATTATAATTTACATAAAAATGTTTTTTTAAAATTCATACAAACTAAAGCACGGTTAAAAATATTTTTTTCACTCCCTCTCATGCAATATTGTTTGTTGGCCAAACACGTGCTTTGAATTGTATTAATTTCACTCAGATTTTATTTAATTGCATTCAATTTCACTCAGTTTAACATATTTGAAACAAATTGTATGTGATTTGGTAATTCAATTATGTTAATTTTATATCAAAACTAAATACATTTTTCTTTCATAATTCGTAATCCAAATTTATAAAAGATGATTAAAAAGATGAAATAGAAGATATGTAGGACAAAGGATGTATAGAATAATATGAAGTGATGAGTTGATGATGGATTGATAAATGCGATATGATAACCGAAATATACCGATTCGAAATATATCTGAACCGGAATGTATCCGAATATGAAATTGATCCGAACCAATTGACCCCCGAACCAAATCTGAACCGTAACCGAATCTGAACCGAAAAATGTATCCGAATCGCTGCCGCCGCTCGCCGGCATTGACTACCATTGACCGGTGGTCCTCCATCACACTCTTATGTAGAGAATTGAAGTTATGTCACTAATTATGTGACTAATCTGTAAATGCAGGTTGTTGAGTTATTCAGGATGGTGGTTGTTCCTATACTTGGCCAGCTTTCAGATGATTATGGTAGAAAACCGTTCCTACTTCTCGCTGTATCGACGACCATCTTACCTTACAGTATGTTATAATATGCCTACTTATAAATACTTAAAATTTATATTTTTTTTACTGTTAATGCTTTCCTATAATTACTGATTGTTTACCTCACAATAAAGATCTTATATTGTACCATTATGCATCAAACATTCTAACCATGCACTCCTTATTTTTTCGTGTTCTTTCTGCAATCTTGTTAGTGACTTGATTTTCTTTTTTTGCAGTTTTTCTTGTCATTAATCAGTCGACGGGTTTTGTGTACGCATACTATGTTCTTGGCATGTTATCTAACATATTCAGCTGCAATGGCAACCTTTTCTGCCTCTCCTTTGCCTATGCGGTATGTCCCTATGTTGATTGGTTTTAGGAAATGTGCATACCCTAGTCTAATAGTACATTCAGCACACAACCGCTTGTGACATTCGACTCTGAGTTGGCCCTAGTCTAATACACAGCTTATAGAGCTTTTAGTATGGGAATGGGACTTCAAGTCTTGAGATGATATATATATTGCAGGCGGATGTTATTGACGAGAGCAATAGATTTGCAGTTTTCAGTTGGATGACTGGCCTCTTTTCGGCTTCCCGTGTCCTCGGAGATGCCTTGGCGCGTGTTCTTCCCGAGAGCATCATCTTTCAGGTTCTTGTCGAATTTCTTTAAGAAATCTCTCTAAATAACACTGAAACATGGAACTTATATCAATATAAAACCTCCTATCTTGACACTGTGAAACGTCTGCAGTCTGGCATTGTATGTGGGCATTCCAGTGTTTCTTGTCATTACGTTTTGGCATCCATTTATTCTCGGTGAATTCAGGTTTCATTAGGTCTCTTGATATTCGTCCCCGTGTATATGGCATTGTTTCTAGTGGAGACAATCAAGCCAACAAGCAGAGCGAATCAAAGTTTTCCTCAAGTGAATAAGGCCAAAAGGATTCTATGGGAGCGATACGAATCTATGCGATCTGCTGCACGTATTGTCCTCAGCAGGTATATTTTGTTTTTTATTAGGAATGATAGATCTAAAAAAAACTAATATATAAGAATATGAATTATAACCAGTGCTTTGCTGAAATAGTTTCATTCTTGTCTTCCCCTATTAGTCCAACACTGAAGTGTGTCATTCTAATCTCTTTCTTCTTCAAGTTGGGAGTTTCCGGCATTGATGCGGTCTTGTTGGTAAGTCTTTCCTTTTTTGAAAGATTGAAGGCAGGCGTCTATTTGAAAAGCATTTTTTGAGTATTCTGTCACTCGAAAATGAGTATTCATGCAGATGTACGAGAGACACCGTACATCCAGATGTATGTTATAGGTACTCTTTTTTTTGACGACGGATTCCTTGTGTTTTGAAAAATATGCAGTATTATTTGAAGGCTGCGTTTGGATTTGACAAAAACCAGTTGTCAGAAGTTCTGATGCTGGTGGGAATAGGTTCAATTATATCTCAGGTACTTTACTACTTGCATTACACTATTTTATATTTTTGTTCGAGTCGGAGTGTCTTGAAAATAGCCTCCCTATGTCTGAGTAAGGGTAAGGTCTGCGTACCCACACCCTAATAGCCCGTACTTTTGTGGGATTTTACTGGATTTGTTGTTGTTGTTTCAAGATGGTGGTGCTTCCGGTTATCAATCCGTTCGTTGGGGAAAAGCTGATCTTTTTTGTATCCTTGTTGTCATCACTCGCATATGTAAGGCACCATTAACAAGTTAGGTTCAAGTTTTAATCAATTGGTTATGTACTTTTAAATGGGTATTTTTTTGGGCAGGCATTGCTTTTACCTAAACGAACCCGTGGGACCCATACAAGAAAAGGTTAATTCAAGGAGATAGCTATGCTTATACCTAATCTGGCAGTAAAATGGACAGAATACGTCCAACGGATAAACTCACGTAGAAAACCTCAGCAGAAGCAGAATCAATGACCTGCTGTAAGTACCACCCCTTCTCTTGGGAATTCCACGCACGAGTTTGTCACGTATTGAAAAAATGAAAATAAATAAATAAAAATAAAGATGACCTTGAATACAAGAGCTCATCCAACAGAGGCCTTTTGGGAGTTGCTCGAAAACAAATCCATTAAGGCTAACTTGTTTATCTTGATTAATGACAGACTTATGCTGTGATATCTCGAGCAACGAGCCCAACCGATCAGGTTTGTAAAAAAACTGCGAAGAATATGGACATTGTTTAGTACATTCATTCACAATCATGCCATTCATGCCTACTTTAAGCTTATTTCTTGCCTTAACCTTATAACAATTAACAAACACTATGATGTTTCTTTTTCGCGTTATTTTATAATCGTCGCATAGGGTAAAGTGTTGGGATTTGCTGCGGGGGTGAGAGCAATGGCGTATTTTTTGTCCCCGTTGGCAATGACCCCATTGACAAGTGAGTTCCAAAAACTTGCGCTCTTCCGCTGTCTTGTGAAATTTTACTGGATTTATTGTTGAAGATGTTAATTAATGGCTTTTATGTTATATTTTCAGCTTTGTTCTTGTCTGAGAATGCTCCATTCAACTGCAAGGGGTTCAGCATTATATGTGCTTCTATGTGCTTTGTAATGTTCCTATCTCTCATTACCTTGTTCTAAATCCCCACCCCACATTTGCCCCTTCTTTTTAGGTGGTGTTTGGAGCCTTTAATGGCAAGAAAACTGAAAAGAATTGTAATAAAAAAAAGTTTTTAAGATACGGGGTTCCTTTTTGTTAGAATATAAAATCTTTTTGGGCCTACAACGACAAACTTGAGTTTGTGGTTGAGTTAATTACATGAAACTTTCGAAACTAGATTCTAGTGTCATAATCCAATTCCTTTGAGGCCCCTACGGTGCTCCATTCAACTCTGAAGTAGTTCTTACACTGTCGGTATTTGGATAGTGGATTCGAACCACTTCAGGGTCCAATGGAGCACCGTAGACACTTCAAATTGATCTGGCAAATTGATCTGGTGTCATATATTATGACACTGGAATCTTGTGTCAAAAGAACCAATCAGGAAATGGTTTTGAACAAAAAAAAGTTAGTTTTCCTCCTCCGTTTGCGCATGTCAATGGCTGTTTGGGCGCAACCGAACGCGTTCTAACGAACTATGGGAATGTTTCTTAGGCCATCTCCTTGTGCTGCGTATGCACGCTGCCCACACAGACACTGCCAAACAAGGCCTCCGAAGACGACAGCATTGAAACGCCGCTTCTTTATTGAAGACAAAGCGTGAAATTCAGCAGGATTTGGATGTTGGCATTACTTTTATCAGCAGTTTTATCATGTATGGTAGTAAGCAAATGTACTTTGCCAGAGTTAGGATGGAGGAATGGAGTTAGTGTTGTCTTCATTCAAAATGTATAGTGTTGTAAGTTGCAGAACTTGGATGGCAAAAGTTACTGCCCATTTATCAGTCTCACAAAGTTGCAGAACTCTCTGTAGCACTATTATCATGTTAATAACAATAATTATAATACAAATTGCAATACTTCTTAGTGCACTGGTCTTTGCTGAAATAAACTTAATAGTTTGATTTACAATGTTTTGGACAGGTGTTAACAAACAAACAGTGTTTGGTTGATAATTGTTAAGAGGGGAGAAAAAGATTGTGAGGGATAAAGTCCCTTTTATAATATGAAGTAGGAAAAGAGTGAAGCGTGAAGTTTATTTTACGACGGGTGAAAAAGGAAAAAGTGTGAATTTCATTTTAGGAGGGAGGCAATATAATGTACTCCGTACTCTGTACTGTATATACATTAAGGGGGTTAGGGGGGGGGGTAGTAAGCAATGTCATGGGATGACCCGGGAGTGCTCCGGTGCCCCGTTCGTAAAATTGACGATTCCTACCCTTGGTAAATCCCCCCACCCCGCCCCGACCCGAACTCAACCCCCCACCTCCTTCAATTGCACCCCACAAGTTGATTTTGACTTTGGAGTCAAAATTTGACTCCAAAGTCAAAATCAACTTGTGGAATGCAATTGAAGGGGGTGGGGGTTGTGTTCGGGTCAGGGCGGGGTGGGAGGGTTTACCGGGGGTTAGGGAGGGTAGGAACTGATATACTCCCTCCGTCCCATAATGTTTTACCCATTTCGATCAACGTGCAAAATCTCGTAAATTTTAAAATGATCTTATTTACAAATTGGTAGAAAAATACAAAATAAAAAATTATATTTAAAAAGTACGTCAAAAACTCTACAAAACAAGAGGTGACAAAAAATTTTTTATTTTATCAAATCATCAATGAAAACACGCAAACAAATAAGAGCTATCGAGAGACCGTAATAGTAAATGAGTAAAACATTATGGGACGGAGCCCGGAGGGAGAATATAATTAAAGTTGTATACTCACTAATGATTGGTGGGCTACCTTTATAGGAAGAGGAAGTTGTATAAGAGTGAGTACAAAGGTGTAAAGGTATAAAATAAAAAAAGAAGAAGGAGAGAAGAATGGGAGGGGAGTGGAAAGGATTAGTGCAACTGCTGGTGCCAATAAGTGTTCATTTGATAGCAGAGGAGATGACCAGATCTGTTCTGGTTGATGTCACCACCAAAGCCCTCTGCCATCTCCATTCCTCTTGCTCTCAGGCTATTTACATCACTGGACTCCAACAAACTGTACTCTCTCTCTCTCTCTCTCTCTTAATTTCTTCTTCTTCTTCTTCTTTGAAAAAAAGACAAGTTTTTTGCTTTCTTTAATATAAGACAGATAAAAGACTTTACCTTTCTGATGCTGGGTTTGATATCAAGAATGGATTGTTCCTGGGATTCCCAACTTTTCTTGGTTTTCTTTCTTTCTTTGTTCTTTTTTAAATTCACAGCTTCTCTTGGATTTCTGAAATGAAGAATTCCCTTTCTTTTTCTATAAATTAATTTCTTCCATTTCATCTGAGATTTTAGCTTTAGAAAAAGGTTTTCTTTAGCTTTCTTCTTCCAAGTTGGGTTGATTTTTTAGTTGTCTACGAGACACTGTTGATTTGTCTTCATCTGTATAGCTGCTGCTAAGAACTAAGAATTACAGGTGCAAACAATCTGTTTTTTAGTGCGTATTTATTTTCTTGGCTTGATCTGTCTTCGCCAGAACATTTACTCTCTGACGTGTGAATATTTTGACTTTTAGTACTCCTATGTGTCTTTTGCCCTACCACATTATTTTAGCTTTTTGTTTTTTTGTCTTTTTCTATTTTGGGTTGACAAACCAATTGTGTTGTGGATAAGGATTAAGGATAACCCTTATGAGTATTGAAGCTTATTTTCTTTTGGGCTAAGATTTTTTTTTTGGGTAAGAAAGGTAGGCATTCTAGTTGCATTACAATTTACAAATGACCTTTTTATTTTATTTTTAATGTGAATTTTATAAATAATAATACTATGAAGATAAGGTTAAGTGAATTACATAATATTTATGATAGAAAGAGAAACACAAATAAAATATACTTTTCTCAGTGAACCCAATGGTTTCTAACGGGTCAGGTTAGATCAATTGATCCTCAAAAGGCCCGAGTCAGTTTGGGAAAAACCCCTAAATAGGAGTAAAATAAAATGTAAATACTCTAAACAGAAGTAAAAATTGTAAAAAAGTATGATACCTTCATTGGCTATGAAGATTTTATGAACATTTAAGTAGGGTATAAAGTATAGGAAGAATTCTCTAAATAGGAATAAAATAACATGTCAATACCCAAAATAGGACTAACATTCTTTTAAGAGCCAAGGCTTGGCTCGGAGAAAGACCAAAATAAGAGTGAAACATAGAGAGTGAACCAAGGTAAGACCTTCATATTTTTATCATCAAAATATGAGTTGCAATGTCAATAATGACAACATATAATACCAAAAGAGTATTATAGAATGTCAGTATATGGTATCACATTGTCACAGTGCACAGTCTTATTTTGAAGATAATAACGTGTTACTCCTAGTTTAGGAATAATTGTTATGTTTTAAGCACTATCGCCGGTAGCCGGCGTTAACTACCATTGACCGGTCCACCACCACCACACTGCCACCATCATACTCTTAGGTCTTGTTCTTTTGGGTTGGAAAAATTAATTTTTTTCAACTCCTTTGAGTTTCTTACAACTCTTTCGAGATCCTTCAAACTCCTTCCAGTTTCTTTCAACAATGACCTAATAAAAGTATTTATATATGATGAATATATAATAACATTATATATCCAAATTTATAAAATACCACCTCAAACACGAACAACGATGAATCCCTTTTTTATCAAAATTACATATTTATTTGGGTGATCATTTAATTGATTGAATTTTTTTTACATATTTGGGTGATCTTTTAATTTGGTTTCTTCCAACATCCAATCCTAAAATTCCAACTCAAAAGAACAGGACCTGAATTAGAGAATTAAAGTTATGTCCCTAATTATGTGACTAATCTTTAAATGCAGGTTGTTGGGATATTTAGAATGGTGGTTGTTCCTCTACTTGGCCAGCTTTCAGATGATTATGGTAGAAAACCGTTCCTACTTATCGCTGTATCGACGACGATCTTACCTTACAGTATGTTACAATTTGCCTACTTACAAGTACTTAAAATTACTATTTTTTATTGTTAATGCTTTCCTATAATTATTGGTTGTTTAACTCATCATCAAGATCTTATATTGTCCCATTATGCATCAAACATTTTAACCATGCACTCCCTATTCTTTTTGTGTTCTCTCTGCATTCTTGGTAGTGATTTGATTTTCTTTCATCTGCCTGTAGTTTTGCTTGTCATCAATCAGTCGGCGGGTTTCGTGTACGCGTACTATGCTCTTCGGACGCTTTCTAACATATTTAGCAGCCATGGCAACCTTTTCTGCCTTTCCTTTGCCTATGCGGTATGATCCTGTGTTAATTTCTTCTAGGAAATGTGCATACCCTAGTCTAATATCTTGAGATGATATATATATATATATATATATATATATATATATATATATATATATATATATTGCAGGCGGATGTTATTGATGAGAGCAACAGATTTGCAGTTTTCAGTTGGATGACTGGTCTCTTTTCGGCTTCCCATGTCCTCGGAGATGCCTTGGCGCGTGTTCTTCCCGAGAGCATCATCTTTCAGGTTCTTAGTGACATTAAAGCATGCAGTTTGGCATTGTATGCTGGCAGTATTTTTTCTGTTGTCATTATGTTTTGGCATCCATTCATTCTGGGTGAGTTCAGGTTTCATTAGGTCTCTTGATATTCGTCCCCGTGTATATGGCATTGTTTCTAGTGGAGACAATCAAGCAAACAAGCGGAGCGAATCAAAGTTTTCCTCAAGTGAATAAGGCTAAAAGGATTCTATGGGAGCGATACGACTCTATGCGGTCTGCTGCACGTATTGTCCTCAGCAGGTACTTTTTGTTTTTGCCCCTCATCAAACACACAAAGCTAAAAAAAGACTAATATATTATAATATGAGTTATAACATATGCTTTGCTGAAATAGTTTCATTCTTTTCTTGTGTTCCCCTATTAGTCCAACACTGAAGTGTGTCATTCTAATTTCTTTCTTCTTCAAGTTGGGAGTTTCCGGCATTGACGCGGTCTTGTTGGTAAGTCTTTCCTTTTTCGAAAGATTGAAGGCAGGTGTGTATTTGAGAAGCATTTTTTGAGTATTCTGTTACTCGAAAATGAGTATTCTGTTACTCGAAAATATGCAGTATTATTTGAAGGCTGCGTTTGGATTTGACAAAAACCAGTTGTCAGAAGTTTTGATGGTGGTGGGAATAGGTTCAATTATATCTCAGGTACTTCACTACTTGCATTACACCATTTTATATTTTTGTTCGAGTCGGAGCGTCTTGAAAACAGTCTCTACTTTTTATGGGATTTTACTGGACTTATTGTTGTTGTCCTTTCAAGATGGTGGTGCTTCCGGTTATCAATCCGTTCGTTGGGGAAAAGCTGATCTTTTTTGTATCCTTGTTGTCATCACTAGCATATGTAAGGCACCATTAACAAGTTAGGTTCAAGTTTGAATCAATTGGTTATGTACTTTTAAATGGGTATTTTTTTGGGCAGGCATTGCTTTTACCTAAACGAACCCGTGGGACCCATACAAGAAAAGGTTAATTCAAGGAGATAGCTATGCTTATACCTAATCTGGCAGTAAAATGGACAGAATACGTCCAACGGATAAACTCACGTAGAAAACCTCAGCAGAAGCAGAATCAATGACCTGCTGTAAGTACCACCCCTTCTCTTGGGAATTCCACGCACGAGTTTGTCACCCAATTCCATTAGTACGATGCCTTTTGGGACAAGTAAAAAAAACAAATCAGTGACACAGCCTTTGTATTTTGAATCATGACAGACTTATGCTGTGATATCTCGAGCAACAAGCCCAAGCGATCAGGTTTGAATTTTTTTTATTTGAGACGAGTTCTGAGATAAAACTCCAAAGAACGTGGAAATTGTTCAACACATTTGTTCAGAATGATGTTTTTTTTTGGCATAAATTTTATAACCGTCGCACAGGGAAAAGTGCTAGGATTTGCTGCTGGGGTGAGAGCAATGGCGTATTTCTTGTCGCCATTGGCAATGACCCCATTGACAAGTGAGTTTCAACAACGTTTTTCGCTCTTCAGACTTTACTGTCTTGTGAGATTCTACTGGGTTTGTAGTATATTACTGGTTTTTATGTTCTTTCAGCTTTGTTCTTGTCTGAGAATGCGCCGTTCAACTGCAAGGGGTTCAGCATTTTATGTGCTTCTTTGTGCTTTGTAATGCTTCTACCTCTCATTACTTACCTTTGTTTTAAACCCCCACCCCCACATTTGCCCCTCCTTTAGGCGGCGTTTGGAAGCCTAGGAAATGAAAAGGAAATGGAAAGAATTGTAACAGAAAGTTTCAAACAAACGGGGTGCGTTTGACACTGAATCCCAGTGTCATAATATGACACCGGTTCATTCGAAGTTCCTCAAGCCCCCTAGCCCACCCTTGCACCCCACCCTAGCTCCCCAAAATTTTTCCTCCTTAAACTCTTTCAATATCATTTCCCACAATCTAACGAACTACGCGAACGTGTGTTATCAGGCCATCTCCTTGTGCTGCGTGTGCACGCTGCCAACACAAACACTGCCAAACAAGGCTTCCGAGAACGACACCATTGAAGCGCCGCTTCTTTATTGAACAAACACGAAGGCTAAAATTCAGCAGCTATAGAAATGGCAGAATTTGGATGGCAAAAGTTACTGCCCATTTATCAGTCTCACAAAGTGATGAAATGTTTTTTTTCTTCACATAAATTGCATAGTTTTGGATCATAAAATCACTGCAATTCATTCAACTGTCCAAATGCCAAACTCTCTGTAGCATTATTATCATGTTAATATTACAGATTACAATACTTCTCTGTACACTGGTCTTTGCTAATACTCTATACTGAAAATAAATTTAATAGTTTGACTTTACGAGGTTTTCGATAGGTGTTAACAAATAAAAAATGTGCGGTTGATAATTGTTACGAGACGTAAAAAAGAATGTGAGGGATACGGTGGATTTTATAACAGTGAAGCGTGAAGTTTATTTTGCAACGGATGAAAAAAGAAAAAAAATGTGATTTTTTTCATGCATTGTATTGTACATGCATTATTATTTACTGTTGTGGGCTTAACCTTTCTCTGGCAAGTAAAATAGACACTTTATTGACTACAACAATTTGAATTGACTAAAAAAAATATTTTCACTCTTGTTTTGGTAGGTAAATTCATATTTGATCTTTGGATTCACACTTATTTTATGACTTTTAGTATGTACTATATAAACAGCATGAAAGGATTTGGTCTTTTGCCAAAAAACTCATGAACTCATAACATTTTATGTGTGAATTTTAAGACCACAGAAACACAATCCTCTTACATTATTTTAGGTGATTTAAATTACTTGATTTAACTAAAATACAGTAAGATAAATGGAGCGGCTTAAACAATAACCATTCACATATTTTTCAAAAAAAAGTTGTTAAATTGTTAGTTTTCTTTCACCTTTGCATATTTCAGTCACCTTTTTTGGCCATTTTGTCAATTATAGCACTATTTTTCACAATATTTAATTTTAAATTCATGTATACATAATTCATAAACAGTGTATATAAGACAAAATGATCATTTATTCTCAATGTTATTCACTGTTATTCTTTTATATTTGTTCACTTTTTCAAAAAGTAATTTTAGGAGTCCTTTATTAACTTTCTTTTTACCTCCATCAAAATTTTATATCAACTTTACTTGTTACTCCCTCTGTCCCAAAAAGATCTTCCCGTTTCATTTTTTGCGCGTCTCATAAAACACTTCTATCCCGCCTCAAATGCAAAAAAAACTTTCAAAACAACTTCTACTTACAATAAATGAGAAATGTGGTAAATTTTAAGCATTTTAGATGTGTATAGAAGTGTTTTATAGGATGCGCAAAAAATGAAACAGGAAGATCTTTTTGGGACGGAGGGAGTATAAAATAAGGGTAAAACTCCGATGGAGAAAAATATCCGCTAGGCTTAATTAAAGATACTGGGTCAGTCCACGCAAGAAGCCCATAAGGAAACCTTAACCCTAGGTTTTTGATTTGATGCTATATAAGAGGCATAGATCCAAGAAGAAAGAAAGGGGAGCCACTTTCTACATTTCACATATATTATATTCACTCTGTTCGTCTTCTCCTTCTTGCTGGAGCTTCGAGCACCATCAAAGGCTGTCACGCCAATATGTTGTACAAATATACCCCGAAATATAATAAAACACCTCCGTTGGCATGATACCGTTAAAAAAGACTTGTGGTATTCATCGATTTGGTTTTCGCATCAAGGCTTATTGTCTAAGTTCTTGTTAGGGGATAAGAACCATCAATTTTACGAACGGAGCACCGGAGGTGTCTAAAAAACCCGGTGGCACTGAAGTAGCACCGTTCTCCGGTGTCACTAGAACCGGACCGTTTATACATATATTATATAGACCAAAAAATATACAACCAAAGAGTTTTGGTCTCAAATTGGAGCTTTAATTGAGAAGAGAGTATTTACTCATGTGTGAATCCTCCCTAATACTCTGTATCATTTTCAAATACATCCAAATTCCACCCATCATTCTCTTCATCAAATCTCTGTTTTAGTTACAGAGCAATTCCCACCACAGCCTCTAATAAGCCCTTTGATTGTGCAGCTTCAGTTAAGCCCTTCTCGTGAGAGGGACATATTAGAGTGTGAAATCTTTTGGTAACTTTGTGGTAAAATTTGACTAATGACAATTTCTATTATTCATTTCAAAAATAATAATAATTCGAGATGCTTGTTATCAGTGAGAAGGATCCTCAAAGGTGCTTGTATCATTTACAGTGGGAAACTGTATATGCTTTTTGTTGTGAAATAGACGAAGAATGTGCACATGAATTAGCTGGTTAGTATCCCCTTATGACTGCTTGATTTTTAATCTTCTTGATAAGGGCATGTTTTGTTTAAGATGAGAGTCTAAATGTTACCTTGTTTGATTCGTTGAAGGAGTTCCTGGCACTGTCTCTGTATGAATACATGTCCTCGTCTTTGTGCAATTTAGATTAAACCTAAGTTTACTTGATTGCACCCTGATCACAAGTTTGAGTCGGAGGATAAAGATTATGAAGAAGGTTTGGGATGAGACATCAATCTCTTAGGTCTTAACTTAGATGGTCATGGTAATCTCAATATGACACTCTTTACACATATGCCCTATGTGTACCGTGGGTTACACCATGGTATAGACCAAGATACACTTCACCATAACATTTGTCCATGTTAGCACTTTTCACTGACAACGCTCGTATGTGACACTTTCACCGACAACACTTGTTGGTGAAAAATGCACATACCCACAAATGTTGTAGGCGAAAAGTGTCTTGGTGTGCACGATGGTTTACAAAAGGAATTACTAAAAGGATAGTGTATAGTAACTGTGTATACACTCATAGTAATTCCATTACTTGCACGGATTCTTCAAATAATGCCATTTCTTGCCCCTGTTTGGGTACTTGGGATGTCCCGACACCCAAATCCTTTTTAAAATTTAGAAAATTTGGTATTTCCTCATTCCTTACTCGACACCATCTCGTGCAACTTATGTGTGGATTGAGCATGAGGGGTGCAAAGACTGTTTCCAATAGATAGGTGTTATAAAAAGCTTAAAGCCCACTGACAAAAGTAATTATCTCAGGTTTAAGATCAAAGCATACTCACGATGCATGAGATTTGTCTACATCAAATGCCCAAACCAAGAAGCTTTTTGTGACCGGTGAGTTGTAATTCTCAAGCCCCAAACTCTATATTCACCCAAGAATGTTATATTATCATGCCCTTCATGGGGTCATTAGGCTCAGTTTAGTAGTTAGGCTTTTTCTTTTGACTTGCTTATTTTGGCCAATATAGACAGTGCCAAACGTTTTGCGCTTCAGAAAGTACCATTTCAGCTAAATACTCCCTTCGTGCCTAAATAATCTTCCCATTTTCACTTTACATGGAGTTTGAGAAATGTGAAATTGTGCTGTTGAAATTTGTGCAAAGGAGAGAGAATGGATGTGAACCTTAGAATTCTTTCTTTAGAAGGGAAAGGGGCATCCAAAAAGGGAAGTGAGATAGAAGCTAAAAAGAGATAGATGAAGTTTTCTGAGAATGATGCTTGTAAATTGTTATGTTTTGTTAGGCCTATCATTCTATACGTCTAAGAAAACATTGCATCCAGCGTTTGAAAGCTATGGGGAAGTATCGTCTTCCACTACTTTTCAATGCAATACCCCCCCCCCCCTCGTAAAGAAGTTGCTTGTTTAAATTGAGGGGGGTTTAAGAGAGAGTGTTGAAAATTGAAAAGCATGTGGTGGTTAAAATTTGTTTGGAAGAGAGAAATGTTTTGAGCTGCATATCTATTTCCTCAAAGAAAGTGATTTTTTTTACCGCAAAATATGGACAGTGAAAATAATAATGGACAAGATTTCCAAGAGGTCAAAAGGATATGGTTTTGTAGAGTACACCACAAAAGAGGCTGCACTCGCTGCTCTCAATCAGATGAATGGCAAGATTAGCAATTGCTGCAAATGACTACGGTATATATTTTCGATGCTCATTGTATTATTTTTCCCACCCAAAATTCCAAATATTCACAACCATAATTCTTTGGGGATGTTAAATTTTTTTGGAGATCATTAATGGGTGGATGATAACGGTTGAAGTTGCAAAAAACAATCCGCCAAAATATAACCGAAGAAGCTTGTGATGAACACACTATCATTTTCCCCCTTAAAGCCAGAGAGATATAGCATTTTGGCTTTCTCGGGATCGGATATCTTGGAAATGTCTTCTCTCCTTCCAAAAAGGGGTAAGGTTTCCTGGTACGGAAAATGCTAGAGTACCCTTGGGGTACCCTATTTGTTCACCAAAGTATTTCCCCTCTGGAAGCTGTGGTAGAGTTCGGGCTTGAGAATGACGTAGAAAAAAAGTTACATGATACATCTGGGACCACCTGAGACAAGAGAACCCAGAGTATTTTTGCGACTATGAGGCGGCGGTGGCTACGAAAAGAAGGGGCGGCGGCGGCGGTACTCATTGCGCGACCCAAATCCAGCCATAATTGGTACCGTTCACGATAGTACAAGCCTGTTACTTTATTTAGATTTCTGTAGTATACATGGCGGTCGCTGTTATATAGAACATTCATGACAACTCTGTTGGTGAAATCTAAAGAGCTGTCGGCGTCGCTAGTTGTTTCTTCTGTGTCTTCGACGACAGCAACACCGGCCGCCTTGTATACTGCAGAGTTTTTGATAAAGTAACGGGCTTGTGCTATCGTGAACGGTATCAATTCTAATTGGGTTCGGCTCGCCTAAGGACTACCGCCGCCGCTACCCCTCCTTTCCGCAGCCACCGCCGCCTCATAGTCGCGAAAATACTCTGGGTTCTCTTGTCTCAGTTGGTCCCAGATGTATCCTATAACTTTTTCTTCTACGTCATTCTCAAGCCCGAACTCTACCACAGCTTCCCGAGCGGAAATACTTTGGTGTACAAATTGGGTACACCAAGGGTACCTCTATCATTTTCCGTACCCGGAAATTTTACCCCTTCTTGGAAGGAGAGAAGAAATTTCCAAGATATCCCCAGCCCGAGAAAGCCAAAATGCTTTATCTCTCTGGCTTTAAGGGGAAAAATGATAGTGTAAGGCACCATTAACAAGTTAGGTTCAAGTTTGAATCAATTGGTTATGTACTCGAAATGGGTATTTTTTTGGGCAATCATTGCATTATGGATTCGCTTGGGCACCGTGGGTATGTTCTTTTTCCAACTAACTTCATCTGTCGATACGAATAGGGATTAGATCGTCATTTTACCTGTTTTATTGTGAACCACGGGGCACCTTCAGTGTATCTTAACGACAAAGAATTGACCCGTGCATGTTGCCTATTTGAGTGCATCTTTTGGAGTCGTCTTAGTTACACCTGCTGTAAGTACCACCATTTTTTAATTTGGGAATTCCATGTACGAGTTTGTCACCCAATTCCATTAGTATGATGCCTTCTGCGACAAGTTAAAAAAAAACAAATCAGTGAGGCCCTAGACCAAAAAGGACAGTATTGTAAATATGATGATAAAGCTGTTATTCATTCCCACGCGATCGTTTAATGCAGCATTTTTATTTTGAATCATGACAGACTTATGCTGTGATATCTCGAGCAACGAGCCCAACCGATCAAGTTTGAAATTTTTTTTGATCCGAGATGAGTTCTGAGATAAAACTCCAAAGAACGTGGAAATCGTTTAACCCATTTATTTACAATGATGTTTTTATTTCTGCGTTAATCTTATAATCATCGCACAGGGAAATGTGAGAGCAATGGCTTGTTTTTTTGTCCTCATTGGCAATGACCCCATTGAAAAGTGAGTTTCAAGAATGTTTTTCGCCGTTCAGACTTTAGTGTCTCGTGAGATTCTACTGGGTTTGTTGTATATTAATGGTTTTTATGCTATATTTTCAGCTTTGTTCTTGTCTGAGAATGCGCCATTCAACTGCAAGGGGTTCAGCATTTTATGTGCTTCTTTGTGCTTTGTAATGTTTCTACCTCTCATTGGTTACCTTGGTTTAAACAGGGTGTGTTTGACTTTGGATCCCAGTGTCGTCATTATAGGACACTATTTCATACGATGCTTTATTCGATTCCGAAGTGGTTCTTACCCTCCCCCGGCCTCCCCTCCCTCCAAATCCCTCTCTCAAGCCCCCTAGCCCACCCTTGCACCGCACCGTAGCTCCCCAAAATTTTGACATTGAATTGTCACCCAAAGGAGGGGGCAAGGAGATAAAAAAACCACTTCGGGGTCAAACGAAGCAGCATAAAGGTCTCAAAATGGGAAAAATGTCATATTATGGCACTAGAATCCAGTTGCAAAAGAACCGCGGCGTTAAACAACGAGAAATGGTTTTGAACAACAGATTTTCAGCCTATTTTTCCTCCTTATATTCTTTCTCTATCATTTCCAGGGATCCAAACACACACGCACACCCTTGGACTCTAGTGATTTGGGATCAATAATACTAACGATCTAACGACCTACGCGAACGTGTGTCATTAGGCCATCTCCTTGTGCTGCGTGTGCATGCTGCCAACACAAACACTGCCAAACAAGGCCTCCGAGAACGACACCGTTGAAGCGCCACTTCTTTATTGAACGAACACGAAGGCTAAAACTCAGCAGCTATAGAAATGGCAGAATTTGGATGGAGAGCCATGGGAGGAATGGAATGGAGTTTGAGTTTTCTTCATTCAGATGAACAGTGCTGCTATATAAATTGCAGAATTTGGATGGCAAAAGTTACTGCCCATTTTATTTATCAGTCTCACAAGAGATGAATTGTTTTTTCTTCAGACAAATTGCATAGTTTTGGATCGTAGTTTTTCTTCACTGCAATTCATTCATCTGTCCAAATGCCAATCTCTCTGTAGCATACTTATCATGTGAAGTAGGAAAAGAGTGAAGCGTTTAGTTTATTTTGCAACAGATGAAAAAGAAAAAATATGAATGTTATTTTAGGAGGAGGAAATACTATGTCCTCCCTCCATTCCTATTTTCAAAGTATTATTTTATCTAGTTAATATAGAATATATATTTTAGTTAATTATAGGTCAAAGGTTAAAAACGGTTGACGAAAAAAGTCAAAACTGGACAAAATATTCTGAGGCGGAGGTAGTATTTTATAATCCTTGATAAAATAAGAATAAAATTGTACTCCGGTAACAATTTACTCTGTATTTTTTGCAAAATGAACGTGGAAATACATTGAAACAAGAAAATATTTTATAAACACGACTACCCCAATCTCAAATTAACTTTTAGAGTCTCAAACGAACTTTTTAGACATTTAAAAGCCTATAAATTTAAACATTATAATGTACATATTTGGCATCCGCTTTAAACTTTAATTTTTAATATTTTGAAACTTATAATCCAATAGTATTTAAATGCTAGCGATTTAAAAGTTAATTATATTACAAAAAATCTATTCAAAATACTAAAACTAATTGAAAAAGTTATTCTCAAGTATATGTCACATTCATAAATCATAATGGACAAAAAAATCAAGTTTGAGGGGTCGTTTGGCGGTGCGAAATACGGAGTATGGAAGTGATTCTTTCCTCCTCAATAACACCCCTCTCCAAAATCCCAAGATTTACAGCAAAATCTTCCAAACCCCATTTCCAATTCGCCATCTCCAATTCTTCAGGACCTTCCAAATTCCACCCATCGTTCTCTTCAACAAATCTCTGTTATAGTTTCAGAGCAATTCCCACCACAGCCTCAAATAAGCCCTTTGATTGTGCAGCTTCAGTTAATAATGGCCACCATCACTGGATTGTGCTCATGGAACCTCCCAAACAGGGCCTAACTTCCAAGCCTCAGATCATTGATTACTATGTCAAAACCCTAGAGAGAGTCTTGGGCAGGTTTCTCTTGTACCCACATCCATTTTTCATGTTTGAAAGATTTCCTTTTTAACATTTATTGTGTATGATCAGCTTGGGTTTGAAACCTATCTAGGTATCCAACCAAAAGCTTGAGTTTTTAGTTGAATCAGTTCCTTAATAATGGGTTTGAATCTCATACCCTCCAGTTTGAAGAATTATTAATGTTTACTTGCAAAGGTTCAAGCAAAACAAATCTCGTGAGAGGGGCGTATTAGAGTGTCAAATCTGTTGGTTGAGTTTAACTTTTTGGTAGAGTTTGACCCATAACAATGATTATTTCTTTTAATTATGGTTCATTTTTTATTTTTCATATCAATAATACGGAGTAATAATAATTATCGAGATGTTTTTTATCAGTGAGAAGGATGCTCAAAGGTGCTTGTATCATGTACATTGGGAAACTGGATATGCGTTTTGTTGTGAAATAGATGAAGAATGTGCTCATGAATTAGCTGGTTAGTATCCCCTTATGACTGCTTGATTTTTAATCTTCTTGATAAGGGCATGTTTTGTTTAAGATGAGAGTCTTAATGTTACCTTGTTTGATTCATTGAAGGGGTTATTGCACGGAGTATAAGAGTTTTTTTGGTTGGAGGAGATGCGAGGGGGGGGGGATTTCGAAAATTCCACAATCTAATATTTTTGAAACAAACAATCAAGCGGATCCCCCCCCCCCCATCTTTTCAACACTATTGAATCCTATGTTTCATTGATTCTTGAAATAAGTGTCACTTCCCATCCCTGAAACATCCCCTCTTTTGGGTACTTGGAGACGTCCCCCCATTCAAATCCTTTGTAAAATTTGGAAATTCCCTCGTTCTCGGCCCTGTTCCTGTATGAATACATCTCCTCGTCTTCGTGCAACTTAGATTGAACCTAAGTTTACTTGATTGATCTAATGCAGGATTGCCAGGAGTTTTGTCTGTCCACCCTGATCACAAGTTTGAGTCACAGGATAAAGATTATGAAGAAGGTTTAAGATCAAAGCATACTGACGATGCACGAGATTTGTCAACATCAAATGTTCAAACCAAGAAGCTTTTTGTGACCGGTGAGTTATAATTTTCAAGACCCAAACTCTAGATTCACCCAACAATGTTACATCATCATGGCCTTCATGGGGTCATTACGCTCCGTCTAGTAGTTAGGCTTTTTTTCTTTTGACTTGCTTATTTTGGCCAATATAGACGGTGCCAAATGTTTTGCGCTTTAGAAAGTACCATTTCAGCTAAATACTCCATCCATCCCTAACTAATCTTCCCTTTTTGACTTTAGACGGAGTTTGAGAAATATGAAATTGTGTGGTTGAAGTTTGTGCAGAGGAGAGAGAACGAATGTGAACCATAGAATTCTTTCTTTAAAAGGAAAAGAGAAAATTAATTAGGGGCATCCAAAAAAGTGAAGTGAGAAGATCAAAAGCGATGGATGGAGTAACTCTCACGCGTGATTTCAGTTTTGTGAGAACATATGCGTGTAAACTGTTATGTTTTGTTAGGCCTATCCTTCTATACGTCCGAGAAAACATTGCGTGCAGCGTTTGAAAGCTATGGGGAACTTGTTGGAGGTATTTTACCTGTCATTCTGATGAATTATCGTCTTCCACTGTTTTTCAATGTAATCCTCCCTCCACCTCGTAAAGAAGTTACTTGTTTAACTTGAAGGGGTTTAAGAAAAAGTGTTGAAAATTGAGAAGTGTGTGATTAAGAAAAATGTTGTGAGCTGCATATCTATTTCCTTAAAAGAAAGTGTGAACTTTTTTGTGGCACGGAGGGAGTGCTATGAAACATTTTGATTAAGAAATCTCTTTTTTACCCTCCCGAAATATGGACAGTGAAAATAATAATGGACAAGATTTCCAAGAGGTCAAAAGGATATGGTTTTGTAGAGTACACCACAGAAGAGGCTGCGATTGCTGCTCTCAATCAGATGAATGGAAAGGTTAGCAGTTGCTGCAAGCGACTATATTTTCGACGTTCATTGTATTATTCTTCCCGCCCGAAATTCCAAATATTCACAACCATAATTCTTTAGGGGATGTTAAAACTTTTTGCAGATCATTAATGGGTGGATGATAACGGTTGAAGTCGCGAAAAACAATCCGCCAAAATATAACCAAAGAAGCTTGGGATGAACACACTATCTTCTTCCCCCTTAAAGCCAGAGATATAGCATTTTGGTTGTCTCGAGTTGGGGATCTCTTGGAAACGTCTTCTCTTCTTCCTAGAAGGGGTAAGGTTTCTCAGTACACACCCTTCCCGGACCCCACTTTTCTGGGATTCTATCAGGTTTGCTTGGTGTTGTTGTTGATAGTTTTTTTTCTTTTTTTGCCATAGCCCCCCAAATTTACAACCCCAAATTTGTAATCATGAAATGCTGTGTCTTGTAGCTGAAGATAATTGGTGGTCACTATGGTTCATAGGTCAAATATTCAAATTGTCTTTTTTATTTACTCCATAATTTGATCAAATAATCACCCTGCTTCCAAGTAGGGGCAAGGTCTGCGTACACACACCCTCCCTAGACTCTACTGTAGTGGGATCCAACTGGGTTGTTGTTGCTGTTGTTGTTGTTGTTTTGTACTAGAATATTGATGTGATTTTTACACATGAGAAAACTTTACTCCCACGTCCCATTTTTTAGTCTGTTTTGGTTTATAATGTTTGACTAAAGTTATTTTTAACTCAATTTATTTGATAATTGAGGTGGAATTAAAGAATAAAAATTACATATTTAAAAATTAAATAAAAAATTCTTCGAAACAAGAAGTGTAATGAATGCATTATTTTATCAAATAGGCATTGAAAATAATTAAAGGGAATGAATGAAATTTGACCATGTAAATAGTACAGGAACACTTTGATTTAGGACGGAGGGAATATTATTTCATTCCATACAATTTTTTTTAAATTAAATTTATTTAACCATCGTAATTGAATTGTCTTTTGTTTTGTGATGAACATTTTAATCTTTCAAAGTTCCTTGAAATGATACACCAATAAAAGATTAAAATGATCGAAATTTTAAGGATCTTATGACAAAGGAATAATGTTCCCATTTAATGTACCCCTCCAATTAAATTTCATATCATGTATCAGAACAATAATCAATTAATCATACACAAATGTGATAACGTATATAAAGCAAGTTGAAATTGAGAGACTAATTAGAATTTTAAAATAGAATCTATAATCCAAAAATTGACCAAAATATAACAAAACTTGGAATATTAATTACTCCGGTAAATTAATACTCCCTACGTTCCAATTTATAGTGCTTGTTTTGGTTTACGATGTTTGACTGAAATTATTTTCAAATCATTTTATATAACAAATGTTATATAGTTAAAAAATAAAGTTTACATATTAAAATACTACATCAAAAGATCTACAAAACTAGCAGTACTAATAGTACTTTATTTCATCAAATTGCTAACGAAAATAGATAAAAAAAAGTGAATGAAGTTTGACCATGTGAATAGTGAACAAGCACTATAAATTAAATTGGGACGGAGGAAGTATATATCATTCATGCAACAGATTAACAAAAAGGAAGAGTGAACTGATTGCATTCCTATATACAATGGTCCATTCCACATTGATTTTTCCAACAAGCCTCAAAGTGAAGCCTTTAACAATAACAACTTCTCTTCCTCAATGGCACAGTAATTGATAGGTTTATTCAAAATGTAATGATCCAAACACGATTTCAACTTTCACCAGCAGTAAAAAAGGGAGGGGGCTAAACTTTTGCCTTGAGAGAAAATTACCCTTCCTCGCCGAACTCCCTCGTGAACCTTTCGTGAACTTCAAGATCTGATTTGCTCACCGTTGGCTTTTGTTTTGCCAGCACCTTGTCGAAATCTCTTCTGGTGATTGGCGGCGGTGTTACCTGCGCGGAGTTTGATTTCCCAATCATATGCCACAGATAAACGCAGTGCAACCAGTTGATTAGCTGTTTGTGTTAGCTGGTTGAATGTTTTATTTTTAAGTGGAAAGGTTTTTTTTTAAAAAAAAAGTTGTGAACGAAAAAAACTTGAGCGACAAACATAGTGTTGAGAATCAAGATACTAACAAATTATTTGTTTAACGACGATCCACATAAAGGTTTCACTAAGATACTCCCAAAGCGCAACGAAACATATTAGCGAATTACCTTTGAAGCTAGGCCTTTAGCGGCAAGCTCTTGCATGTTTGTCTGAATGGCACCAGGTTGTCTAGGTCCACATGGAACCCATAGTTCATCACGGGTTTTGATGAAGAACTCGGCATCTTGAGTCTTACGAACCGGTTCAAACAAAACCTCATTCACCTGAAATTTCAGGGAGGTCAGAGAAGAAAAATTCATTCACATATATCTTCAGAAATAATTTTCGAAACTACTAATAAATCTACAGTAAGGTACTTGAGACAACTGATCTCGCCTAACAAGCCAGACAACCCCCTACCTAATGTCTATGTTTTTTTAAGAGAATCTTAAGTTGTATAAGCTGTTCAGGCCGTTTTCAAATAAGTGTCTATCAAGGAAAACTTGTGCTGCTTAACATGAAATTATGCCATATATTGAAAAACATGACACTATTCGTTACTAATTTGATGTATCGAGAGTGATGCTAGTAAGTCTTAAATTCAGACTAACTACCATC